CAACTAATACTGAATGAGAGAAAATGGGATGCTAATGAGGTAAATGGGAAGATGGTGATTGATGAGCTCCATCTTAGTGGCTTATTCTGGATATGAGAGCTGCCAAGCTCCAATCGTCCTGGCCGTGATCAATCCCCAGCTGTGCTTCTATTTACACCCAACATATTGGGGGCAATAAACAAAATACAGTCATTTACTACTGTGCTTTGAGAGACAGCTCATGTCCCAAGTCTAATGACTGCTACAATCACAGCAACCCTCCTCCCCACCCAACAGATGACAGTTCACCAACCCAATGCCTGGACAGACTTTCTGAGTCTAATTTTTCTCCAAAGTCATTGTTTTTGGTTAGTCCTTGGAGAAATAGCTTCTTCCTGGATTCAGAACTGGGGAAGAAAATCAGACCCCACTAAGAAGCCACTCGAGGACCCCTGAAAGCTGATTTTGAGCTAAGAAAGAGAAAATATGCTTTAATTTTCCTTGGAGAGAGTTGAGAGGCACTGGCTTGTGCAACTCTCCACCAGGAGCTGAGAGGATCCTTTCTTGGCCAATCTAGGTCTTTCCCAGGGAGAACAACAGGGTTTGTTAGAAAAACAATTACTGGGATGTCAGTCTACTTTAGGAAGAGGGAAAAAGAAGGAGAATCTAGGGTTTTATGTTGCCTGGGGCAGAAGGGTTAGAGACTTGTGGATCCTGCAGTTGCTCTCTTCCTGCCCTCTCTCCCTGCTCATGGGTGGGCCACATCAAAAGCAGGCACCACTCAGCACTCAGCATCCCTCATTAGCCATTTAAAGAAATATCGCAGGTGGCCTGTGCCCCGGGACTCTTAATCTAATTCCTCACAATCACCAGAGATCACGACCACCTTCTTTCTGTGGTATTAGGAATAATTACAAGCCACTATCAACATATGCTGGAAGTGCTGTTATAGTGGCCAGAAAACAAAACAAAACAACAACAAAAAAAAAACAAGGAAAGAAAGAAACAACTGGAAATTGTGCTCTTTATTCAGTAGCTTTCAGTAAGGCTTTCTCAGATGGAGAAATACGCATCTCTTCTTGGAATCTGCCATTGTTTCCTCCAACTTCCTCCTGATTCACGTAGCCTTTGGGGAGGTGACTGACTCCCTTTATTTTCACACTTGCCAAGACAAAGACAGAAAGCTCATCTTTGATGCTCCCTCCAGTCAGCAAGTCCTTAGGGAATAAACAAAACCTCTTGCCTGCAAGATATGACACACTTGACATACACCAATTTGCATTGTTTCATTTACAGACAGCGGACACCAAAAGAGAGACTTTATCACAACTGCCTCTTGGGACTTGTGTTCAAAAAGGAGCTGCCAGTTCCTAGTGCAATTCATGGGGGAAATCCAGATCCTCTCAGTAGGGAGTATTCACTCCATCTTGTTTCAGACAAAACAGATGGGAGGGCTTGTCTGGTTGACTTTTCCTCTGGCTTTAGAGAAACCTGAAGTCAGGGAGGAATGTCACTCAACATAACCTAGATAGTGGGTGGAAGAGTCCTAACTCCTGGGCTTTCTCCAGCTGGTAGTACCAACCACAGTTTGAGTTCTTTTCTCTGCTCTCCTGGCCTCAGTTTAACAGGTCTGAGCGCCCTGGGAGAGGCATTCTGGGCTTGACAGATGTCAGCATCCTCCCAGGATTGGCGAGCTACCAGCCTGCTCTTGAAATCCACAGAGCCTGTCATGTGGATCAGACTGATGGGCAACCCCTTGACACTCAATGCTCTGCATGTTTCCAAAGTAGGCCAGCAATCCGGAGAAGAACTTCAGAGGACAGCATCTGCAGCCCTTTAAGAACTTTCTTTGTCTCTCTCAGGTCCAGGGATGGAGCAATATCACAGTTGCACCTTGCATTCCCTGGAATATTTCTTCCTAATTAGCCTGCTCTTCTATCCCACCGGAAAATTCCAACCTCTGTATCCTTTCCACTTGGACAGTAACTTCTAACAGTGTGAGAAGCACTAGTTTGAAAGCCAACCCATCACACCTGAGGAAAAGAGATGGGTGAGTCTATGCCTGGCATGGGGGGTGTGCTCAACTGATGAACTACCCCAAGGTCAGGGTAAGGACAGGTGACTGGGCGAGCTTTTCCACTTTCCGAGGACTGTCTTGTGGGTGGGGCTGGAAAAACCTCATTCTTTGTGATATATTTCCAGTCAATGAAATGAAATTAATTTTGCCTTGGAGACATTTTGAACAATATCATCATGTCTCTCGAGACCCTATAAAGAGTCCCAAATGAATATGAAGGAGAAACCACAGCTGTCAAAGTGACCATATGCATTACCAATGACCATAGGATACTAAGAGAAATGCTTGGCTTGTTGGCATAATTGATCTCATTCCTCCAAACCAATCATACACTTTGGATATTTGTTCCCTCCAAATTTCATGTTGATCTCCAATGCTGGAGGTGGGGCCTGCTAGCAGGTATTTGGGACATAGGGACAGATTCCTCATGAATGACTCGGTGCCCTCCCCATAGTAATGAGTGAATTCTCACTTTATTAGTTCATGCAATTGCTGGTTGTTAAGGAGACTGGCACCTCCTCTCCTCTCTCTTGCTCCTGTTCTTGCCATGTGACGTGCCTGCTATCCCTTCACCTCCCACCATTAGTCAAAGCTTTCTGAGGCTTCACCAGAAGCCAAGTAGATGTTGATACCTTGTTCATACAGCCTGCAGAACCGTGCACCAAATAAACCTCTTTTCTTTATAAATTACCCAGTGTTATAAAGTATCCTTTATAGCAATGCAAAATGTACTAACATACACCTATTTATGCCAGGGCCAAAAAGGGCCAAAAAATTGAGGACAGTCCCCTGAGTGACTTAGTCAAAGCAAGTATGAAGTGAAGCTGAACAGTTGTGGCACTCAAATTGTCATGGAGACAGAATCAGTAAGAGGCAGCCCTCATTCTCCTCTATGTTGCCATCACTTTAAATAATTTAAATGGAAAAGTCTTAGCTGGTGAATGCTTCTTTTTTTAAATTACTTTTTGAGATGAAGTTTTGCTCTGTTGCCGAGGTCGGGGTGCAGTGGCGCGATCTTGGCTCACTACAGCCTCTGCCTCCAGGGTTCAAGTGATTCTCCTGCCTCAGCCCTCCAGAGTAGCTGGGATTACAGGTGCCCGACACCATGCTCGGCTAATTTTTGTTTTTTATTTTTTAGTAGAGATGGGGTTTCACCATGTTGGTCAGGCTGGTCTTGAACTCCTGGTCTCAAGTGATCCACCTGCCTAGGCCTCCCAAAGTGCTGGGATTACAGGTGTGAACCACCGCACCTGGCCCTTAATGCTTCTTTTCTATTTCAGACAGATTCTCCCCTTCTAGGGCAGTTGAGCAATCAGGTGTGGAGGGAAGATGGCTATGGTAAGGCCTTTAGGTTGCGGACTCTTAGCTCCATGGGGATCACTGAAGAGGCCAATGAGAATGTTCTGATTTGAGGTCTTTTAAGACAGATGTTCTTCAGGTCGCAGCTCTGCAGACCTCCTGGTTATACAACCAGGATGTGCGATGTGCTGAAGTCTAAAAGTTTAATCTCAGTTCATCTGTATCATCACGGTGATATAGGAAAAGAGGCCCTTCCTAGCAGGGGAATTCCAGACCCTCCCTGTATCTTGGTGACACAGTGAAAAATGTAATGACTAGGGCCTTTGGAGAAATAGTGTGGCAAAATGACCCAATAGGGGTTGAGACCTGCAGTTAGGAGGAGCAGAGCTTAGCGGCTTCTGCAAGGAAGGAGAGCAAGGACACAGTAAACATGGATCCCAGGACATGCGACCACACAAGGCCAGGTCAGCCCAAACCGGGGAGCTGTCCTGGGTGGTTGCACCCTTCATTTTCTGTCCATGCCCTCACAGGGCCTCAGGGAAACTGCTAGATTTAGGTGAAGAGCAATGTGCAAAACTGTCTTTGATTTATGACCTGAGTCTGGACTTAAGCCTTGCAGGAGGCAGGTAAAAGGTAAATTTTTCCCTCTCAGTTCTGAAACATACCGCTTTATGATTCTATGAATGGGAAGTTGGGAGGGGCATTACTGTCAAAAGCAGCTGTTCATTTTTCATAGGCTCTTTTGGATAACTGCAAGATCGTAGACCATTTGTCAAGTGAAATTTGAGACAGGGCAGGTATCGAAAAAGGAGACTCGTAAGACACATCTTGTTCTCTGCAAATAAAACACCCAGACATTTCTGAAACCACTGGGTTTGCCTAAGACCACATGTAAACCTCAGTTCACCAAAGTTCACACGTCTGGCTTGCGAGAGTGTGTCTCAACAGGCAAACCGTTACTTTTAAAGACTGGAGGCTTAAAATCTTGTTTGCCTTCCAAGATGATATTTCTGCCTGTTTACCTAGATTAAGGGGTCCTGGCTCTGGACCCTGGGAGAAGGGGCTGGGAGTAGGGATGGGGAGATACCAGGGCTTACAGGTAGCTCCTGTTCTCTTGAGTAAATAGAAGGACAAGTTCAAATGCAAGACAAAAAGGCAGAGAAACCACCCAGATTCTTTAAGGGTAATTGCCTCTCCCAGCAGGATACAGATGCAGAGAGTCAGGTTGCACTCAGGCTGAATTGGGAGTGTTCTTCAAGAAAATGTTCCCTATTTTTGTGTGCTTTGGCAAATTCAGGGTGGAATGCAAGGGTTGCCATGGTAATATCCCTCTTTTTTTTTTTTTTTGTCAGATCAGTCACGTGGGACCCATGCACATTCTGGAAGCCACTGCTAATAGTTCCGATGCTACATTCTGTTTGGGGGCTTTGTTGGTATCTGGAACGGTGGGGCACAGCTTCTTTGGGGATCAAGGGAGTCAGGGTCCATTTCCCCTTCTCTCCCAAGGAAACTGCCTTCTTGATCATCACTTGTATTTTCTGGGGGGGTGGGTATCTGCTCTTGCAGCAAGAATGAGCCAACCTGCGTTTGTCAATCCCTCAGTCTCCCCACAGCTGGGCAGCCAAGGTCACTGGTTCCTAAGTCTATTAGCTGGAGGACAGAGCGAGGGGTGGGCTCTTCCCTCTCAATTCCTGCAGAAGTCACCTCCAGCTGGGGCTACATGTCATCCCTTGGGAATGGGAGACCAGGACCTTCTGGAACCTTCAGCTATTAGCTTCATAGCCACCATGATGGGGACACTGACTGGCATGGGGCCCTGGCATAAAATTTGTGTGAACGGGGCTGGGAGTTGGCTGCCTGACAAAGAAGCCTTCCTTATACCCAAGACAAAACTGTCCAAGAAAAGCAATCAGGGTGCAAGTCACCGGGACAAACTCTGAGGTCCTGAAGTCTAAGGAATGCTGCTAGCTCAGGGCCGTCTCCACCCACTGTGTCCTTCGGTTCCCTGGGTGCCACGTGGGGGGTTACCACGGTGGGAAGTTAACTCCTAAGTTGTCAGAAAGAATTCCGCATCTTCCTTCTGGCCGTCTCTCTCTAGCAGTCCACAGAGGAGTGCATTCTCTTAGATTTTCTCCTGGGGAGGGTGGGCTTGCTTCCAGGTCACTGGGAGTGAGAAGAAGGGTCACTGTTAGGGAAGGAATCCTGCAGGCTTTGTAGAAAACAGGATGATGGCGCCTCTCCAGAACTCCTTTTCCTCCCTACTCCTGCACAGTGGCTAATCTCTCTGCTGATGAAATCTAACTCCCACCTCCTGAAGGGTCTCTGTTCTCCAGCGGGAGGCAGAAGAACTTGCAGAAAAGCCACCTTCGAAGAAGTAGTCATTTTCTGCCCCGAAGACCAGCCTCAGCTGCGGCATTTCAGGCCCCTCTCATGGGGGAGGGGGCTTTGAAGAATCATCCCTGGGGTTTCTACCCAGTCTACTTAGGGTCCTGCACCCCTATCCCCAGGAGGACGTGGTTTGGTGGTTCAGGGGTCAGGGAAAGATAGGAAAGTATATCCCTTCAAGATCTGCTCTGCCCTCCCATCCAAATCCAGCTGGGAGAGGGCAAACTGCCCAGGGCAGATATTAAGGATGAGGTTGTTCGATGTGTTAGTGTTCTGCATTTGGACCTGTTCTAGTTCAGAATTCCAATCCTAAGGGGACAATGGTGAGTCAGCCAACGGGAGCGACAGAAGGGGCAGGCATGCAGTGTGCAGGCAGCAGGGCAGGTAAGGGGGAAAGGCAGGTTGCTGCCTCCTTGGTCTGGCCTTGCTGGGCTGAACTCCAAGAAGTTTTGCAGAGGGACCTGCAATCCCCCAGGCTCTTGGGAGCTTACATCTCCTCCCTCCTCTATACTATGGCTCAAACCCTAGTTTTACTTGTGCTCATCAGGAATATTCACACTCTCCCACAAAGGGAAAGTTTCTACAGCTGCCCCCAGGCTGTTGCCAGGAGCACTTGCAGAGGTGAATGAGAAAACTCTCATCGGAGACCTTGGGTGCTCCAAGTCTGAGAAGGCAGTAGGGAAAAAGCTGAGCGGAAAGACAGGGAGGGAGATCAGGAACACACAATGCACCAAAAACCCTACCCACTGCACTGAGACAAGAAAGCTTCTGGTGGCTCAATACCGGAAGAAAGTGGGGAAGCATGTAGTTTTAGGATGTAATCAAAAGAAGTAGGAGCAAGGTAATTCCATTACAAAATAAAGACCTGAGCTTGGAAAAGTACAAAGGGAACTATTACATCTAGAGATTACTGGCTAATCTGACTACACAAGGTTGAATTCGTAGTAGTGGCTGACATCTAGGAAAAGTCAGGAAATTACAGACTTGGAATGGAGTTGAAAACAGATCCTTGGTTCAGGTTCAGTTACCTTCCCCAATGAAAGTATTCTGCAGGCAGGAGTAAATTACCTGTTCTGTTGGCTAAACTCATAAACATCTTTTCCCCCCACCTCCTGAAAATAAGTCAGTTGCAGAATCTGAAGGCCAGAAGATCTTATGTAAAATACAGTCATTTGATCTCTCCATCTTTCCATTTTGGATTGCATTTCTCTTTTTAGCTGGGGAAGACTAACTAACAAAGCAAACTTCAAGGTAAGGGAAAGGTAAGATGCACAAGGACCTTAACTTACAAAGGTCATCTGGCATAGAGACATGGTGGGTCTCCATGACTCCAGATGGCTGGGTGTGGGTGTCAAAACCTCACCACCAGTCTCAGTCTCCTCCCCCTCAACCTGCCTCACCCCTGCCCCAAAGAAGCAGGGATGAGTGTGGGAGGGAGGACAAGCTTATATTAGGTGTAAGCGATTAGGGAAGAATGACATCACACACGAAGAAGCCAATTATATATATCTGTCTATGTTATAGAGATGCCCACGATTACGCTTCTTTTTTTTTCTCTAATGGCAGCACAGGCGGCAAAGCTGGGAGAAAGGCTCTCTGCAGGTTCCAAAATGCTGGTGCGGGATGGGCTCTAGGAACAGAAAGCCAAGTGCCAACGGAAACTGAGAGCACCCCAGCTCTACCAATGGCAGTCCTCTAGAAAAGGCAGTAAGAACGGAAGCGGTGAGAGGTGCAGCTAAAGACCACCAGGGGCTGCACCCCACTTAATGGCTTTCCCCTCATGCCTTGGGGGGGGTCTCCACTGGATGGAGGAAGGAAGCCAGGGTGGGATGGAAAGCCCTCTCTTCTGTGGCAACCCAGAAGTCAGCCTCTTGGAACTGAGGGTTGACCTCAGCAGAGAGTCTCCTGTTGACCCTTGGGTTGAAAGAATGGGGAGTGGAGGTGACTGTGTGTTCATGCCTCTCTCTTGCTCTCTCACCATTATACCTGGATGGCCGCTGGAATTCCGAGATGAAGATGAAGTTTTTCTCTAGAGTTATGACTGATGGTTGAAGCAGTAATTCGGAAATCCTGGCTATTTATTGCATTAGAAAACAAAACCATTAAAGCACTGAAGACAGCCCTTTAGTGTCCCTGCCAAGGAGATGAAGCTGAAGTGCAACCCCAGTTGCACTCAACCTTGGGTTCTTTACTGAACGGTTCCATCGTCTGCATCCATCCATAGTCCAAAGGTCCATGTCTGCTGTGTGGAGGAAGAGTCTGCCCGCAGGGCATGCACATGCGCGGTGAGCTGCAACACAGTGTGGCTGGTGGGAGGCTGCTACTCCATGCCACTCCGGAGTATCTGGTTGGCTGCAATCAGCATGACGCTGATGATGAAGGCCATAGCAAAGGCGCATATGAGGCTCTTCCGGACGCAGGTCTGTCTGTTCTGCTTCTGGGAATGCACTGGTGGTGGGAGGAGCAGATGTGGGAGGAAGAGGGGTTGGGAGAAGACAGAAGAGAGAAATAACACAGTGAGATAGGTTGCAACTCTTCCTCAACAGGCCAGCAGTGAGTCCTATAGGATGAGACTGGTCAAATCAAGTTGACAGGCACTTATGGGACTGCTACCATGGAGACTGCATAATATAAAACACCTTCTGGTGAAAGGTATGAAATGAGAAAACTTCTATAACAAGAACCACGATGGATGTGATGTTAAGCTTTCTGATAGAATAGAGCTAGAATGACTTTCAGAGCCAGGAAATATGGGACATTTCAGAGTCAGTTTCATAAAAGGCATCATCCAGTGATTGCTGTATCCATTTCTGCAGCCGATAGGAACAGAGCAGAAGTTCAGATGCTTCCCTACATCTCTGTGATCAGCTGGGTGCAACTTACCTTTCCTGGACGTTTTTTTGGGTTTTGCTAGTCAAATCACTGTAAGTGACTTCTTGCATTATTTCAGACATACACATAGTGGTTCTACAGTGGGGTCGTTGGACAAGCAGCGTCCCCATTGCTGAGAGCTTGACAGCTTTTTTTTTTTTTTTTTTTTTGAGACAGTGTATTGCTCTGTCTCCCAGGCTGGAGTGCGGTGGTACTATTGTAGCTCACTGCAGCCTTAACCTCCTGGGCTCAAGCTGTCCTCCCACTTCAGCCTCCTGAGTAGCTGGAACTACAAGTGTGCACCACTGTTCCTGACTAATTTTTTAAATTTTCATTTTTGTAGAGATGGGATCTTGCTATGTTGCCCAGTACAATCTCAAACTCCCCTGGGCTCAAGCCACCCTCCTGCCTCTGCCTCCCAAAGTGTTGGGATTACAGGCATGAGCCACCATGCTTGGCCACTGAGAGGTTTTTGAAAATGCAGATTCTTGACTGGGTTTGGTGGCTCTCACGCCTGTAATCCCAGCACTTTGGGAGGCTGGGGTGGGCAGATCACCTGAGGTCAGGAGTTTGAGACCAGCCTGGTCGACATGGTGAAACCCTATCTCTACTAAAAATACAAAAATTAGCCAGGTATGGTGGCACACGCCTGTAATCCCAGCTACCTGGAAGGCTGAGGCAGGAGAATCACCTGAACCTGGGAGACAGAGGTTACAGTGAGCTGAGATCATGCTACTGCACTCCAGCCTGGGCGTCAGAGCAAGACTCTGTCTCAAAAAAAACAGGCAGATTCTTGTCCAGCCCCCACCCCAGATCTGCTGAATCAGAGGCTCTGGGAGCGGGGGCCCCATCTGTGTTTAACAAGCCCTCCATTAGAGCTGGGATGATGCTGACGTTGGGGAAGTGGGGATTGCACAAGGCTGTGGTGAGCTATGGTCACACCACTGTATTCCAGCCTGGGCCACAGAGGGGTGAGACCCTGCAGGGGGTGGGGGGGGAGAGAGAGAGAGAGAGAGAGAGAGAGAGAGAGAGAGAGAGGAAGGAAGGAAGGAGAAAGAAAAAAGAAAGAGAAAGAGAAAGAAAAACAAAGAAAAAAGAAAGAGAAAGAAAGAAACAAAGAAAGAAAGAGAAAGAGAAAGAGAGAAAGAAACAAAGAAAGGAGAAAGAGAAAAAGGAAAAAAGAAGAAAGAAAGAGAAAGAAAGAGACAAAAAAAGAACGGAACACCCACTCCAGAGTTTTTCATTCAGTAGGCCTGGAGTAGGATGGAGTTGCTGGGGACAGGAGGGGTGTGTGTGTGTGTGTGTGTGTGTGTGTGTGTACGTGTGTGTACGTGTGTGTACGTGTGTGTGTTGTTGGGGACATTAAATCAGGGGTGTTGAAGAAGATGGCTCTTTACATTCAGCTGTTAAAGAAGACTGCATAGCAAAAGAAGAAGGTCAAGGTTGTATCCACATGCCTTTAAAGAATGTAAAAATCACTCAAGCTCAAAAGGAGAAAGAGAAAGAAAGAAAGAAAGAAAGAAAGGAAGGAAGGAAGGAAGGGAGGGAGGGAGGGAGGGAAGAGAAAGAACAAAAGAAAGATAGAAGAAAGAAATAAAGAAAGAGAATGAAAGAGAAAGAGAAAGAAAAAGTAAGAAAAGAGAGAAAGAACAAAGAAAGAGAAAGTGAGAAAGAAAAAGAAAGAAAAGAGAGAAAGAAAGAACAAAGAAAGAAGAAATAAGGAAAGAAAGGAGAAAGAAAGAGAAAGAGAGAAATAAAGAAGAAGTAAGGAATGAAAGGAGAAAGAAAGAGAAGGAAAGAAAGAAGAAAGAAGAGAAAGAAGGAAAGAAAGGAGAAAGAGAAAGAAAGAGAAGGAAGGAAGAAAGAAAGAAGAAAAGAAAGAGAAAGAAAAAGAAATGAAATAAAGAAAGGGAAGGAGGAGAAAGAACAAAAGAAAGAAGAAAGAAATAAAAATGAAAGAAAGAAAAAGAAAGAGAAAGAGAGAAAGAAAAAGAAAGAAAAGAAAGAAAGAAGAAGGAAAGGAGAGAGACAGAAAGAAGTAAAGAAGAAAGGAGAAAGAAAGAGAAAGAGAGAGAAAGAAAGAAGAAAGAAGGAAAGAAAGGAGAAAGAGAAAGAAGGAAAGAAAGGAGAAAGAGAAAGAAAGAAGAAAGAAAGAAGAGAAAGAAGAAAGGAGAAAAAGAAAGAAGGAGGGAAGAAAGAAAGAAGACAAGAAAGAAAGAAAGAGAGAAAGAGAGAAAGAGAGAAAGAGAGAAAGAAAGAAAGAAAGAAAAAGAAAGAAAGGAAGGAAGGAAGGAAGGGCGGTCTTTGATGAAGTGCATCGGGGATCCTAGGCATTGCATTACCTCAGGGAAACTAAGTGGACGTCAGAATGTCTTTCCCGTCTCCTTCTTTTCCTCTACACTTTCTCCCTTGCCCTCCGTCCTGCAGTGGTGCACGGTTCCCCAATTAGCTGAGAGGAGACATCTGTGCCCTGGAGGTCGGCAGGAAGCCACCTACTCCAGAGCAACTGGCTGAAACAGCAGCACCAGTGCCAGCTGAGAGTTTGATACAAATGAGATTCTCAGCCCTATTGCAGAATTACTGAATCAGACGAGGTTGGGAATTTGTGTTTTAATAAGCTCTCCAGGCAATTAAGCAATTGCTAGACACCCACTCTGGAGTTTTTTGATTCAGTAGGCCCGGAGTAGGATGGAGTTGCTGGAGACAGGAGGGGTGTGTGTGTGTGTGTGTGTGTGTGTGTGTTGTTGCTGACGTTAAATCAGGGGTGTTGAAGAAGATGGCTCTTTACATTCAGCTGTTAAAGAAGACTGCGTAGCAAAAGAAAAAGGTCAAGGTGGTATCCACATGCCTGTAAAGAATGTAAAAATCACTCAAGCTCAAATAGCTCTCTCCCTTGATGTTAGTGGCTCATCCAAATTCCTGGTAATATTAATAACAGGGAAGAAGTAGGAAGCTAGCCATATTTCCAAAGGCAAACAGAACTTTCTTCAAGAGAAAGGGTCCCAAGGGCTTGTCAAAGGATCTCTAAAAATGGCATTGATCTTTTTTATGGCTGTGTAGTATTCCATGATGTTTATGTACCACATTTTCTTTATCCAATCTACCATTGATGGCCATTGAGGTTGATTTAATGTCTTTGCTATTGTGAATAGTGGTGCAATGAACATACACATGCATGTGTCTTTATGGTAGAACAATTTATATTCCTCTGGATATATACCCAATAATCGGATTGCTGGATCGAACGGTAGTTCTGTTTCTAGCTCTTTGAGGAATCCTCACACTGCTTTCTACATCCTTTACAGGAACATTGATGGGGCTGGAGGCCACGATCCTTGGCAAACCAACACAGGAAGAGAAAATCAAATACCGTATGTTCTCACTTACAAGTGGGAGCTGAATGATGAGAATACATGGAGGCAAAGAGGGAAACCACAGACACTGGGGCCTACTTGAGGATGGAGGGTGGGAGGAGGGAGAGCAGCAGAAAAAAATCACTATTGGGTTCTAGGCTTAGTGCCTGGGTGGTGAAATAATCTGTACAACAAACGCCAGTGACACGAGTTTACCTATAGAACAAACTGCACATGTACCCCTGAACCTAAAATAAAAGTTAAAAAAATGGCATTGAGCAGGAAGGTATCTCCAGAAAGCCAGGCTTCAAGAAAATGCACTTCAAACGCTGGGTGTGGTGGACAGAACTGCGACCTGGCACTAATTCATGCGTTTCTTGATAATTATTGAAGATTATAATGCATTTGCGTTGTACCATATTTTTGTGTATTTATTTACTCTTGCCTCTTGCTGTCTATCATTTAGAAGTCTGTAATAGAAGACTATAGGTGAGCCTGGGACAAACTGTAAGTCTAAGGTCTGACTTGCCGTGACCCAGCCGCAGCCCCCAGCCCCCTCACCAATATGATGCTTGTGAATTCTTTCGCCATCGTCTCTTAGGTCTCATCTTGTTATCTTTATTCCTTCTGAATCCACTGATTTCTGCTTCCCTGGGGTGATTTAAAGTATCTGCGACTCAGCTTTCTTCTTGCCGAGTCAAGCTTCCACCTTTTGCTACTAAGAACAATGCTGTCTAGGTGTGGGTCTCAGAATCTTACAAGTTCTCACCTGGAGGAAGACAATATCCCTGGGGTAGAGATGGGCTTTATCCCATCAGTAGGCAAACGTACAAAGATGCCAAGTCCCAGGAAGGAAAAAGGAGGTGGCATTTAAGAAGGAAAGGGCCAAAGCAGAAAATAAGACGAGAATGTGGAAGTAGCATATCCCTAACGCTTTCTGGCTAATTTATTCTGAGCAGCTTCTTCGCCTGGAAATGTTTCCGAAGGCAGCCCTTTTCCATTCCATCTTGAGGGCCCGTGAAAGCTTTAGGAAGAGAAACATTGCATGACTGGCCTGAGGGAGGAAGTTTTTGCTGAAGCCCTTCTTTGTAAAGGTCAACCAGGAAACAAGGTTACCAGCAACAGGATTATCCCCCAGGAGAGGGGAGCTGCAACTTCGATCTAAAAATCCATCCAAGCAGTAGGAGGGGAGAAATAAGGACCGAGCAACTGCCTGGAGAATTT